ATTAGATGTTTTGATTGTGTCACATCCATTGTTGGCTTAGTGTTGCTGTCGGGTATGCGGCTTTAAGATGTGCTCGGGTTTGCCAAGGCCGCAAAGCTTTAATGTTAATGTTTTGGCTTCGGAGTTTCCATGGATCATTGCCACAAATGTAGGTTTTTAGTTGTATATGTGTAGGTTTTTAGTTGTATATGGTAAGTGAGGGCTATATGGGGCAGCAGCAAGTATGGTGAGGATATACACCCCGATGATTGGACACCGGCCAATGATCGGACACCGGTTGCTGGATGAAGAAGGATAACAATTATGGTCACTAGGAGTATATAAAGGGACACATTGCCCCTCTTCGTTACCTACCCCAACAATCCCTCTTCTCATTCCCCCTGGCCAATCGGTCCACTAAGACCTTCCTGCATCACGGTGTCCTGCATGGCCAGAATAAAAGAATCGTCACCGGGCGAGGGCCGCCGGCGGACACAAGCGGTCCACCCCCGGAGCTACCTGGATGACTTGCGTGCACGGGCTCTAATTAGTCGGGCGGGCCAAGCGCTTGAGCTAAAGGAAGACGGGCCTGTATCGCCGCCCGGCTTCTCCATTAGCTCATCCAGGTTTATCTCCAGACCTCGACCATCCACCTCCAGACCTCGACCATCCACCTCCAGACCTCAACCATCCACCTCCAGACCCCGGCCGACACAGTCAAATAACAATCAATCACCTGCTCTGTCTAAAAACTCTAACTCAGCTCTTTCTGAATCTTCTCGGAAGACCGTCAAACAAACCAATCAACCACCAAAGGGCTTTGCAAGCTCCAAAACAAACTCGACTAGTGCTCCAGATTCATCTTCTAATCAATCCCCACTGACCATAACTGAGCTGACATGTAGGTAGTTGTTTGACATGCTGATACATTATTAGATCTATCCTGACCTTCCATGACTTTCCATTCCATCACAGTTCCGGACTCGCCACCACCCAAGATGTTACCTCCGCCCACGTTCAGCTTCCGCACCTCAAACATGATCAACGAACCCGAGTATTCTGGAGGGGCGACTGATTTCACGGAGGAATCTCAGTATTCCGGAGGCGCCACCGATTTCATGCCTGCTGTACATCCAGGCCAAGAGCAGTATCTAGACCTCAACTACTCAAACAAACATCCAGGCCAAGAGCAGTATCTAGACCCCAACTACTCAAGCGAATACTATCTTGACCCTAATATCAACCAAAGCTACTCACACTCAACCTACTCGCACCAAAACTCTACGGCTACCAACCAACCGTTCGGCATGTCGACTGTACACTCCCATCCCAATCACTCGACCCAACATCAATTGCAGAATCATACCGAAGGTTGGACCAGCAACTCACCTCATGTCAACCAAACTGTGATGTCTACCAATTCTGGGGCGCTACAATCGATTCCTATCCCTCATCAGACTACTCATCCGGGACAGCCATTGACCGGTGGACCGGCTTTCGGAACTCAAGGACCGGGGCCATTACCAATTCACCCTTCAGGCCATGGTGCCGGGCCGCAGGCCAGTGTCCGCGGAGGCCTTCCTTCAAATGGCGCACGCGCACCTCGCAAGCGTGGCTCCACGAAGCGACAGGCCTCAAATCCTCGTCCATCTAATGCTCCTCCTCCTGCTCCACTTCAAGCGGTTCCAACTCCTCCTCCTCCAAAGAAACAGCCTCGAAACCCTCGTTCATCAACCGCTGGCCAACCGGCTCTTCCGTTACATACGAGCACTTCGAATGACCAACCTTCCACTTCCCATGGCGCCCAGCAGACCACGATCACATCAACCGCTGGCCAACCGGCTACTCCGTTACATACGAGCACTTCGAATGACCAGCCTTCCACTTCCCATGGCGCCCAGCAGACCACGATCGCATCTGCTGTACCGCAAGGGACGACTGGAGTTCACTCTGGTGGGGGAGAAGACCGTGCGGGTGATCTCGCGGGCGAGGTGGAGACTCAAGAGACACGTGGTAGTAAACGGAAGCCAAACGAGAGAAAGCGCCTTGATCCACTCGTTCTGGAGTCTCTGAGGGGCCTCCAGTTGGATCAGCTGCGAAAGAAGGTTGCCCACCACGGGCATTACAAACGTCTGGCGGCCGAAGATCGTGTTGCCCTTGATGCGGCTTACTCCCGATACCAACAAGAAGTGCACTTGATTGCGGCCGAAAGACTCCTCAAACCCAGACCCGTCTTGAACCACGTGGGCAGCCTGAGCCGATTCCGAGGCCCGAACATGTACATCAACTTTTGCGAATATGACATCGAGGCGCGTAAAGTCTACTATGACAGTAAGTCCCTTCTCTCCTTCTATCTATCAAGCGGCCTTTCTGCCTGTCTTTCTCATATTGCCTGTTCTTGATCAACAGAAAGTCGATCGATGCGTGAACGAAAGCGTGAATGTGGCCGCCTTTGGAGAGCTCTTGACCAACAAACCAAGTTAAAGTACAAAGACATCGAATTCCTCAAGACATTGCCAAATCCGTTTGGACGTGGTGAATGCCCTGGACCCGATGGTGGGACTTCTGAAGCATCCCGAGCAAAAAACAAGAAAAGTCGCTTCTATCGGAGTGCCGAAACCGAACTTTGGAGCAGAAAGGTGATGCTTGATGTAAGTTGTCAGATCATAGTTCCTTCCAACACCTACCTGCAGAATCTAACTGACTTGTGGTTTGTTTATAGTTAAAAAATCTTGGTGCCGCGCACGACATTGAAGGGTTCGTCATGTTGTATAAGGGGAATTCAAACGAAGTTGTTAGTGGCAGTAGCTTTATGGGAGAGAAGTTTGTGGATATCTTTGCAAAGGATAAGAAGTTGGACATCAGTTCCAACTTTCTATCCTTTGCAAGCGGTCAAGAGGTGATCAGGAAAGCAACTGGTCAAGTTGCTAAAGTGGTCTGACCTAGGAAACAAGCCCAAAAGCTTGGTTCAAAGGAAACCGCTTGGAATCTTGGTACGTCTCCTAAGGTCTCTCGATCTCTCTTGTTTGTTTTACTTATTATACAAATTGTTTGGATACAGGAGGAAGAGAAAAGAATCGAGATGCCGCCCGAGAAAAATTGAATGAAGCAATCAGTAAGTTTTCCGTGCGAACCCCACATCATACATTTACTGACAGTTGTTGTAATGACAGGCAAAGCGACACACATCAGGAGGAAGTGGCCCGGAAAAACAACCGAGAAATCTCTGAAGAAGCTCGGTGTTACTTTGCGCATCAAGGACAACAGCTATGGAATCAACGTGTCCCATTTTTGCGGCAAGCCCGGCGCCATGGGTGACGAGCAATTGCAAAAGGTCTTGAGGGCCTTTGCCGAAGATTTGGTCATTCTCACGGGGCCACCAGCACCTGAGGTTCCCGAGACGTTGGGTGCTGATCCCGAAGAGACCTCGGACAAGGAGTTGGAACCTTCAAACTCAAACAAAGGTGAATGTGTGATTGCGAAGGCTCCCAAAAAGAAGATCACAACCGATCACCGCCGTCTCAAGAGCAATACCGCCGGAGCCAGCGCTAAGGCCGCTAAGGCCGCTCGGACCACGAGCACGAATGCTGGTAAGAAGCGAAAGCGACGTTTGTCTGATTTTTCCGAAAGCGGGGAAGACACGCCGAGTTCTTCTTCTGATGATGGAGATGAGGATCAAGATGCCAATTTCAACGACAGCGATGACGATGATGAAGATGATGACGATGAAGATATTGACGATGAAGATGAATATGAAGAAGGGGATGTCGATGATGAGGTTGATGACTGACCGTTCTTCTCTCTTATATGTATTTGTACCATCGAACATGAATCCCCACTCAGCCTGATGCTTGTTTCTTCACATTTTGTCTTGTCTGGTTTTCTCCGGTTCCTCTTATAAATACAAAACAAAACAAAAAAAATCTCCTGTGTCCAATTCCTCTCACAGATTCTAAAATACATTTCATCTCATCTTCTGTTGCTTTTGCTCTCATGTATATAGACCTCACATAAAACTTAAACCCCAAAAAAATTGCCTTGCAAATCATACACAAATTGTATTACTAGAAAAAAATGGGAGCGAAAAATGAGAGGAAAAAACCGAGACAAAATGAGAGGAAAAAACCGAGACAAAAAAAATGAGGTTGAAAGTATTTTGAGAGAAAATATATTGAGATCGAGATTGTGTTGTCGGTGGGGTGTTGTGTATGGAGTGTGTGCGGGTGTGTAAGACGGGTTGTGGTAAGTGATGTGTAAGGCCCACCGTGGTAAGGCCGATGATGTGTAAGGCCGGTGTGGGTGTGTAAGGCCGATGTCGGATGTGTAAGTAAGGGAGCCGGGGTGCGGGGTGTGTACACCCGATGATATGTGTTTTAGGGGAGTGATGTGGCTGTATGATGACATGTGATGTAGCTGGGCGAGGCTGGGTGGCAGGCCTCAAGGGGCACCTGGGGAAGAGGGACTTAGAGAAATTTTTCCAGGTGGCAAAAAGCTGGAAATCGAGGTACCCCTGGAAACTCTGGAAAGTCTATACGTTTGCGGGGAACTGACCGGTCTGTGTAGTATAGGAATTTTGTGTGAATGTACTTATAGTATAATACAATGTAGTGGCCACGGGTGGCTCAACCAGATCAAAACCGACGCCACCTGTGATGCAAAAACGATGTAGGGCATGGGTGGATGTCATTTCACATCAAATTTCCCATTCAGTGAACGATGTCGATTCGACATGAAATCCACCGACGAGGTGGCATCGGGGTGAGCCCGCTGTGAACTTAACCAAGCTGACTTCAAATTTGGAAAAGTTATGTACGAAATGTTAAATAGTATCGGCTGTTGAATCCTGTTGAATCCCGAGAGCTTCGTTCTTATTCAAAAAACTTGTCTGGGAGGAGGCTGCAGTAACTTGTCAGGCCTGGGAGAGTGAAAATCGTTAAAGATTGACTGCCATCACTATCAGGCCGCCGCACGAGGAAGGCGAGTGTGACGTGGTGTGTGGTGACCCTTTGATCAAGATTTTCATTGTACGTGCAGCTTCAAGTCATCCATCAACAAGTGGTGCATATATCCGCCTGCCTCTTCTCGCCCGCTCATTCCTTCATCGTCTTCCGAAAAGCCCTTTGACGATATAACATACTCTCCTCCTGCCTTCCAAGAATGCTCTCCCGCTTTCGCGAACATAAAGAAACTAGCCCGGAGCACCTATCATCAACCGATTCAAAAATCAAATCATTGCCGGTCAAGCATGGCGACCGAATCCGTCGCCTCATGGAGTTAACACGTTCGCTCAAGTCATCCGTTGGACACCAGTGTGATATAGAACTTCCAAGAATCGTGATTCTGGGGGTGAGTGCGACTCGAGACTTGCGCGCTTCTGCTTGTGATGCTCTGTCGGGTTATCTGAGTTATATTGAACCCCTAGGCTAACATCTCCTTTCACTTTCAGGATCCACTCGCGCAGCAGACTTCGTTGTTGGAATGTGTAACCGGGGTAAGTTTTCAGCTATTGCTCCGCTTATTGTAGTAATTCTCTGAAACTGATCTACGTACCACTCTAACTCGGGAATACTTGCTCGCCGGGGATGGTTATGGGACACCCGCGCATCTCTTACATAGGTCAAAATTCCTCGGGAGTTTGAGCATGACCAAAGAGCTCCAATCGAGTTCCGGATGATCAATGTGATGGAAGTGGACTGGAGTTGTCAGGTGAAAATAAGGTACGACTACACGAGCCAGAACTTCAAGCAGAGCCCAGAACATGTGGAAGAGACCAACTTCGGCGAGGTGATAAGCGAGCCAAGCAAGGTTGAAGGGACCTTGCGTGAGGCCCACAGTTATCTTCTACGTGAACACGCCGCGACGGCCCCTCGGAGTAGCAATCTTGAAGCAGCCTCCGGTACTGCCCCCAGCAAATTAATCCTGAGCAAACGTGCCTTCTGCAAGAATGTGGTATGTTTGGAAATTCGAGGCCGCGCAGTCGTAGATTTGACTCTGGTCACTTTGCCCGTGAGTCATACATACATCCATGCGGAGGGGCAATACCTTTCCTTGATTAAAACACTTTGTCACTCTTGCTAGAATTTTATTCAAAGTCATTCAAACCGGGCACTTCAAGACTTCGTACTCTCTGATTACCTCGAAACCAACTGCTATGTTGTACTATTGACCCATGGGTTAGGTACGCCTCACTCTTTTGGCCGTTGCAGATGTTCTCATGAACAAGTCTGAGTTTCAATCCTCTTTAACAGACCGTCTTCAAGTTCATCCCGCTTTTGGTTTGGCTCAACGAGTTGATCCTACGGGAAATCGAATCATAGGTAAGCCTCAATATTATTAGCCTTGGTGGCATGCTACGTCCGTCCATGTCTAACGACTTTTTTTTCCCGCTTGAGAAAAGGTCTTTTCAACTGTCTAGACGCGGCCCAGGTAGCCCAATCAAGTCCGACAGCCAACCTAACACGGGTGATTCAATCGGGATTCAGAGCGTTCCGCTCAGGCTCTGTCACAAAGGCGCCCCCATATTTACCCTCGAAACCGGGCGATTCGCTCTCAAGGCAAAGAAGCAACAAGTCGATTCGAGCGCCGAGGGCAGCTTGGAAAGTGATGAGGTGGCAAAACCCATATTTCTCTGAAGCGACTTTCGAGTCAACTTTTGATGACTCGGAACTGGTGATATTCTTTGGAGAGATCTTCTCTGAATTGTTACAAGAATCGTATGCACACATCATCTCTCGCCTGTCTCCAATCTTTCGGATGGTCCCCATATAATGAATTTCATTTCTTTGGATATTTAGGATACCCAAGCTGCTCGGAATTACCTCTCAAATCTACTCGCTCTCATCGCCAATGACTACCGCGACTAAAAAGACCGGCGATGATACAAATGATAGCTCCTTCTGTCACGTCTACACTACTTGTTTCAAGGACATAAATCGATTGGTGACCAGCACGATTGCCGGCGAAGAGCTTGGCGACGAAATTGAGGCAATATATGAAGGACTAGGATACCGGGCGTTTTCAGATCTTCCGCTATTTGTCCCAGTGCCTAGGCAAGAAGATGATCTTCCGGCCTTCAAACAACTCACTGAGCTTGCGGACATGTCTCTGTACCCGGAGGCCTACCGGACGACCGACCCGAAAAAGATTGATATCCGTTCCCGTCGACCTAGGATCTATTTGGCAGACGTGCAAGACCATCTGTCTCATATGAAGAGGTGTGTGCTCACATTTAATTGGGTGAAGTGATTTGCCGAAACGCTAATTTGCTCGATCCCCCCATCCAATCTCCAACGTCTGCAGCTTGAACCACCCAAAACTATCAGGAATTGGACACGCTTTCTGTCAAAAAACTCCTCTGATGGACTTGCCAATCAGTAAATGGAAATCACATGCCCACGACGCACTATCCCAAGTTTTTCAACTTCTCCAAGACGCCGTGAACCGGATCATTGACCAGCGGTGCTCCAAAACTCCCAGTTTCCAACCGAGAATCAGGTGAGTTAAGTTTCGTTCAACTATCCGCGATAGGCGCTTCATGTGCAATGCCATGCTGATTGAAACACGCGGCTTGGATCCATCTTAGGAAACTCGTATATCTGCGGCTCGATGATATATTTTCGGCCGCGAAGAAAAGTCTGCAGACCGTATTAGAATTTGAACTGGTTCCTTACACCCAATCTCTGCGAAGGCTTTTGGAAATTCGTGCTGGGCTGATGGAGAAGTACCACCTCTCCTGTCACCTGCTCAACGTAGGAAAGGAAAAAGGCAGCCCAAAGCTCACGAAAAGAGGAGGGATGTACCAGTCGGCTTCGGGCAACCAGGCCGTGTCCTTGGAAAACAGAGGATCGCCTTCACTCGACAAGACTGACCCAAAGTTGAAAGGCTGGGACGTAGAAGTCAATGCTTGTGCCGAAGCATCGGCTTACCTCGATCTGGCACTCAGCGTGAGCCTGTGCTTCCTGCATCACTTCTACTGTTTTCTTAATAAAGATGCTGATAGAATGGTCGATCGGATCGATCCAATAGAATTTGTTGGAGACAACTTCGAAGATCATCGAAAGGGAGCTTCTGGAAGAGCTAGAGACTTGTGATCCCGCTCAATTCTCGCCCGCTCTGGAAACCGAGGTCGTAGAGATGACGGCGAGCTCTGACCCTGATGATCATCAAAGTCCGAAGAGTCCAGGCACGAGTCTTCTCCACCGAGGCAATCTCGACCCCCCTTCAAAGGTCTTGAACCTTGTAGGCGAGATCCAAAATATCATCCAGGATGAAACTGAGGAACTTTTGTTGCTCGATCCGTTCCAGTGTTGACGTGGCGCAGCCAGCGGACACCCGACTGGTTTACTAATAGATGATTAACTTGTGAAAAATTTGAGTTTGTGTTTAGTCCAATTTTACATTCTTTTGTATTGATTACCATCTTCATACTATCCTTCACTTTGCATCCCCACAGTTTGTAATTGTTCTCTTGACTCTCATTGATTTGCTTGTTCCATCTTCTACACATCTTCATCACTCATTAAGTTATTTTTATATCTTATTTCTGAGTCTCTCATTTTATTCTCTTGTCAAAGTATTTCCACAAGGTACCAAGGTGCCGAGATCAAGTCTGCGCATTCGCCCAAAAGTGTTGGTTGATTGTATGTAGTGTGCATAGTTCCAGACAATCTTATTTCTCACAAAATCATACTCATGGTCTTCATCGGTGGTCGTATTGTTTGGATTGGGTACTTGACCTCAGTGGCAGTACTATTCAGGGCTCTTTTAGGGCTCGGTAATCAGGATTGGGCAGTCTAGCTTCCATCACATGTCGGGCCTTCGTTTTTAAGAGGCTTCAGCATTTCAGTCAAACTTAACAAAAGCCCGCGTCCCTGCTGCGGCGTGGGGCACTGTAGCCGCTTGTCGAGTGTGCATGCACCAAGGACTCTCCCGACTTAGGAATAATGAGCCATCAGGGCCCAACAGCATCCCCAAGCTTTGGTGATGGAGGATGTTGTGAGCACCTGCAGGCCTCACTTTTGAACAAGTTTTTTTTTTTTCTTTTTCATAGTTTGAACTTTGTATTTTTATTTATCAAGTGGCCTATTCAGAACCTGAAAAATATGTCCCATTGATGATCAATAAAATTCATGAAACTTTGAGTTTCTTGAATTTCTGTGGCCGCTTACTAGCAAAGCCATGGTTTTTTGCATGGCTCTTTTTTTCGAGGAACCGCTCTTTTTTTCTATCCTTTTTGCCTTTCAGCTCAACAGCATTTAATTCGATTGAGATTTCTCTCTCTCTCTCCCAACCCGACACATGCACTCCCTGCTCGCTCATATAAACACCTGACACCGTTTAAGATCAAGCTGGCGATGTGGTAATTATTCCTGTGTTTCTACGTCAAAAATGTAAAAATTTATTATTATCTCTCTAAATACTGAAGATAGGGTAAAAATAACATCAAAAATGGATTTCTGAGGTAAAATAACCCCTAGTCACTCACTACAACTACCCTCTTATCTCTACTAGTTCAGAAGTTACACTTATCTCAAGCTGTCACAGGAGCTTTTCTTTATTATTATCCTGACCATGTCTCATTTTGAATACTGGATGCATAATTCATATTGAATTCCTTTGTATCATAGTGAATTCCTTTACTGGCTTATATTTCATATTGAATTCCTTTGTAGGTGCACATGCATTCCTTGTAGTAGGACCTTGTAGGCTAGCCAAATTCCTCAGCAGTGCTCTCACCAGCAAATTCCCTCACTGC